ACATATCACAGCGATGATATTGTCAGTGAAAGTTACTTTTGTTGCATTTTTCACTCACAAACAGCACTTTTACTGATGAGTATAAATTTCTGTTGTGATACGTTTTCCAGCGCCTTTAAACACTAATATTTGTGTGTTCAAAGGATGTCTCCCGAGTAAAACAGTACCCCCATGTACAGGTTTTATAGCATTTTTGGAGTTACAAGGTCAAATATATGGGTGGGTCAAATATTTTTACATTGAAAATGGCCAGGTTGGTTACGCTGCCTTTGAGAGCGTATGGTAGCCCAGGAATGAGAATTACCCCCATGATGGCATACCATTTGCAAAAGAAGACAACCCAAGGTATTGCAAATGGGGTATGTCCAGTCTTTTTTAGTAACCACTTGGTCACAAACACTGGCCAAAATTAGCGTTCAATTTAGTTTTCTTACTTTTTTCACACACAAACAAATATGAATGCTTACTTTGGCCAGTGTTTTCGACTAAGTGGCTACTAAAAAAGACTGGACATACCCCATATTGAATACCCTGGGTTGTCTACTTTAAAAAAAATATGTACATGTGGGGTGTTATTCAGAGATTTATGATAGATAATAGTGTTACAATGTCACTATTGATAAATTTTAAAAATGTATGTTTTGAAACCGCAATATCCTACTTGTACCTATAGCCCTATAACATGCAAAAAAAAGCACGTAAACACTGGGTATTTTTAAACTCAGGACAAAATTTTTAATCTATTTAGCAGTTTTTTTCATTTGCTTTTGTAGATGAGTAAAAGATTTTTCAAGTAAAAGTCAAAAAACATGTATTTTTTCAATTTTTCATCAGATTTTTTTATTTTTTTTAAATTAAAATACATGAGATTATATAAATAATGGTATGTAAAGAAAGCCCCTTTTGTCCTGAAAAAAACAATATATAATTTGTATGGGAACAGTAAATGAGAAAGCGGAAAATTACAGCCAAACACAAACACCACAAAAGTGTAAAAATATGCCTGGTCGCAAATGTACAACATCGCAAAAACAGTCCAGTCCTTAAGGGGTTAAAAGAAAAATGCTAGTGCTAATAGGACTTGGAATCCCCATTTTAAAATAAATTGAGTTTTGTACTAAGCCAATTGATAAATCAAGTACTAATTAGTATTATGGTCTATAAATAGGCGTGTTAATAGATGTTAATGGTAAGAACAATAAAAGCAGCACTTTAAGGAGTACAATGGTATGCCTGCTTAAATGTGTCCTATGAATGGGTATTTTGGGGATTATGATATGGAAAATTTTAATTTTTTTATATTTTTAGTCTATCTCTACATATTCTACATATATGAAAAGTGCAGTCTATATCGTATAAGCAAACCGTTATTACATTGATAAGGCATTCAAGAAAGGGCTTTTTCACTTTCATGGGGTTTGTTATTCTTGCCCCTTTATATATATATATATTTGATTCTAAATTTATTTTATATATTATTTATATATAATTATATTATTTTATTAATTATATATTGGGGTCATGCCTGAAACCCAAGTAGGAATAGAAATACCAGAGAATTTAATCTTCAAGCCCTATATTTGACCCTGTAACTTTCCAAAACACCATAAAACCTGTACATGGATTTTTGTACTCGTGAGACTTCACTGAACACAAATATGAATGTTTTAGAGCAGGGCTTCCAACCTTAGGTAATCGAGGGCCGTATTAAAAAAAACAAGATTTATCCGAGGGTCGCATGCAAAGTTATGAATTTATTACTTACCTTATAGTACTTGTTAATAAAGAGCATTACATTTTTTTTTTTTTATTAATAGATGCTTTTTAATGTAATGGAAAAAAAATAACTGGAGACAAATGTAAGTATGTTTTGTGTGTTAAAATGAATGTATGTATCTATATTTAGTGTTGGCATTTGAATGCAGTTGTATGTTTGTACTGTTGCTATTTGATGTACGTGTGTTAAGTGATTGTGTTTTACTATGTTTGTATGTAGATATAGCATTTGATTGCTGGGATGTAGGCACAAACACTTCCCCGCACATACAAACTGAAATACATACAGGTACGCACACACACACACACCAGGGCCAGATTAAGAGCCCATTGGGCCCGGTGCTGACAATTATGATGGGCCTAATCACAGAATCTTATCGATGGAAAACACCAAAACAGTCATACCTCCTAGGCGTTATGTATCTGGCGGAAGTGGAGGAAAACTCACAGGATATAGCTATCAGAAAACACATACCCTATGGTAATCTCTCGCTTTCATCTTTCCAGTAAATCCATACCCACTAACAGCAGTGTTCCGGTGATGCAGGATTTCGGTGGGCGGGGTAAAAGGGTGGACCATTGATATTAATCACGTAACCAGAACCACCCAAAATGTCTGCACAAAGAATTAGATAAGCTGCCTGCCAATCATGCAGGATGACTAATCAAGGGCATACGGTGCAGACAGCACCCTGAGCTTGGCATAAATGTGTCTAATGACGCACTAGCTCTCGCTGGTCCATTCCTCTTCTTACTAGAAGGCAGAAGCTCTTGTTATACAGTACGGAACAGAAAAAAAAAACATGTATGTATTGAATGTATACTGAGGCAGCAAGAGCATTTACATATATATTTACTTAGATCATATATATATGATATATACTCCCCCTGCTGGCAATGCCTTGGACGGCTATGCCATCCATGTGATCGTGAGGTCCTCGCAAGGACCTTGCGATCACATGGCCCAATTATATATATATATATATACACATATACATACATACACTGTCTAAGTGTATTTTAATATTAATATCGAGTCCTGTGAGTGCACTTCCATCAAGGTATTTTATTTAATATTAATATTTATATAATTATATATATATATATATATATATTTAAAATCAAAATACACGTACAATGATATTGATTAAATATATATATAATTTTCAATATATTATTATATATAATATAAAAAAATATGTAAATACATTAAAAAATAAAATTACAAAATAATAAAAAATAAAATAAAAAAAATATATATGTGTGTAAATTCGTGGGATCGCTAGCAACCGGGTAAGTAGAAAGGACGGTTTGGGCGTTCTATGCCGCCCTCCGGCGTTTAGAGCCGGTTCCCTAAGGACGGCATAGAACGCCCGCCGTCCTTAAGGGGTTAAAAACCTGAACTTGTCACGTCTCTTTTACAGCACTGTAACTTCACAAAATAGTGTCTAGGCATATTGTTTTACTCAGAAGGTGTAACTGAGTATAATTTGGGGATCTTTATGACAGTGGTACATATTAAGTGTAAGAAATACTCAGCAAAAATGCATATATGTAAAAATGCAATTCACCCCCCCCCCCCCCCCCACCACAAACATTGACATAAATTGGTGAAAGAATGATGACAAGTTAAGGCACAATATACACCATATAAGATACCCTGGGGTGTCTGCTTTAATTAATGAAAGCCCTTTGTGGGGTTATTTGAACAGTCACACTGCTATAATACCCTAAAATGAGACATAGGCCCGTCAAATCTATCTACGAAAAATTCTAACTATAGAAACTTAAATAGCCTTGTCTCTTATATGGCACTGTAGCTTTACAGAAACGTGCCAAAGGCATACAATGGGGGTATCGTTATACTCAGCAGATGTAGCTGAACACAATATGGGGTTCTGCGCAGGAATAGCACACACCAGCTTTACGAAATACACATTACAAAAACCTTGTTATATGTGTATATGCCAAAATAAAGAAAAAACACAATTTTACTCCAATATTTGAAAAGAAATGGCTACGTACAAAGTGTCAAACTAACCTTAGGTAAATAGCCTTTGATGTCTACTTTCTATAAATATATACTTTTGTGTGGCAATTTTGTTTTCTGTGATGGCTACTAAACCTACAAGACAAACATACCAAATTCAAAAATTTTGCAAATTGAAATTTTATTTTAGTCCTTGTATTTTGTGACCTGTAGCTTTCAAAATAAGCTGAAATCATATACATATGATGTACTCTATAAATCAAGACACCTAAATTAATTTATTTTGAATTACTTGTTCTAAGCTGGCCATATTATGCACACACTATTATTGCCAAAACTGTGAAAAAAATTTAATTTGTTTTGTTTTTTCAATTTTTTGGCATTTTTATATAATTAATAAGAATGTATCTATGTATATGTGACATCAAACTAAAGCCCTGTTTGCCTTCTAAAAAACGATGTATAATATGTGTTGGTGCAATAATTGACAGGGATGCAAATTGCGTTTCAATACAAACAGCGAAAAATGCAAAAATGGCTTCTGAAGCTCTGTCCTTAAGGGGTTAAATCACTATTTGATTTCCCTTTTTCTGTATATAAATAAACATTACAGTGTTGCACTGCTCAACAGCATGGAGAGGATAACATGGTGGATCTGGCAGCCTTACTTCAACAGCATTTTATAGAACAATCTAGGATCATAATTCGAAATCACTAATCTGAAACCTGACAGAACTCCGTATTCACACAGAAAATTCCTGTCACACAGGTCACTCCATCTTCCCGCGTTGCATGTAAATACTGACACACAGGGCTGTCCAGGCCAAGTAGCCTAAATGTAAACATCTGAGATGCCTTGACATAACAATGGCCTTGAAGTTTAGGAAAGGGGTGGTTATGGGCTGGGCCTGTCTGTCCTTGCAGAGCTGTCCTTGGAGCGGATTGAGTGAGGTGATGGGGTGTGTCTCTATAGCACAATGATGTAGTCTGAGCCACAGGGACTAAAGCAATGCTCTGGCCCCTCCTCTCCTTCACTGACTGCGAGAACTTCAAGACAGCAGGATTCTTATCTTAGAACCTTACGCAACGCAAGTATGTCTTTTATTGCTACCATTAAGTGATCAGTGACTGCTAGCTCTCATAGTGTAGCTAATCAATTACTTCAGGGGTTAAAAGGCACTGTAGGAGTTTTGCATCACCCTGCTGCTTTCTATAGAAGGAAATGCAATGTTATTATTAAAGGCTGTTTATGTGTGGATCTGTTTGACAGTAGCTGTCATAGGTCCCAGCCAGCCGGGCCTAATACACTACTGCTATTGTGTATTGGACTCCCTCTATACTCAGAGTTAAATGTGTCCGCGCTCTAGTGTAGGGACCAAGATCGTGGCCATGGTCCTGACCTTACTGTGGCAGCCTTAATGCTGTCTTTAATGCATTACATGTTGACTGTAACAGATTATATGCAACATTTAATAAATACAGGCATCGGGTTAATGCTTTAAATGTAAGTATTAACCCGATAAAGTAAAATGACATTTAGTTGCAGTGGACACGTCACTCTGTAAATATGTTATATTAGTGTATTTTTCCTCCCCAGTGTTAACTTGCATAAGCTATGGCTGCATATTTCCCTGTAATATGATATAAAATGGGCAGGCTTATTCCTCCTTTTAGTCTCGTTGTGGTTGATAAATTGCCCAAGTTCAAGTATAAGCAACTTTATTATGCTTTGTTTAAAATGTTTCACATGGTGATAGAAGGCCTCTTTGTACATGAACATGACATTCTACTTGAGGATGGTGATGAGTGGGTGACAGCTTAAGACTCATTTTATGTCTGGGTGCATTATTTCCAGCCCTGTAAACCTTACTGGAAAACCCAGCCATCTCAGATTGAAACCTGGTTAAAGGGACGTTTTATAATGTCTGTTCTGGAATTACTGTGTCTGTATTCCAGTAAATTGACTTGCTATGGTTTTCAAATGACTGTATGTCGGAGTGAGGCCATGTTCAGTGCCTTAACATTGACACAGATAACTAGAAGGCTTGGGCAGACTTTCTATGTATGTGACAATCTGCAGTGCAGCAATGGATTCTGTCTCTCTGCTCAGTGGGTGTGATGCTAGCTCCTGTTACTATATATTTTTTTTCTTGCGGTTGAATATTTGCATATATGATGAATTCCTGAAGGTGCACAGGAAGTTGCATCTCATACAAGTCTAGGAGTACATATTCTCTTACCGTGATTACTAGTAACGTAGTTACTGCTATAGGTTTTCCGGAATTGTCTTTGTAAACCAATTCAGGATGATTCAGTTCTTCTGGTTGCAGTTACTGTAGTCTTCAGTTCTTTTTACTCCTGTGCCAGATATCCAATGAGTCAGTCCACTATGTTACTCAAACATATGGATTTAAAGTCCACAGTATTCCAGGGCTGCATTTCATAAAGGCACTTTGGTACAATTACTAGCTGCTGGGGTGGGGTGGGGTGGGAGAGAAATGTAGATTGGCAAAATTCATTAGTTGTAAAAGTAACGTCTAACTCTGCTTTGTGCTTCCATGATAATTAAAGTGCCAGGATGGTAAGTTTGTGAATGTTCTATCAGACAGATCAGTATGAGAAGATGGACACGTGAAAGCATGTGTTACGAACTGCCCGCAGGTAGTGATGTTACATATCAAGTAATGCCTGAATCAGATTAGCATCATCACACCATAAAGGGCCGCAACATACCCATAAATCAATTCAGCTTAGGATCCCATACTAATGGCAATTTATAAAAGTGCGCTGCTCTCGCGCGCACACAGCAGACGCGCAGGACAGGGCTTGCAAAGGCTGCAGTTTATAAGTACATTTATTGCAAACTGGTTTAAGATACACCCCAATGAATACATTATTATGTTATGTTATGTTGTTATATATATAGCGCCAACAAATTCCGCAGCGCTTTACAGTGGGTGGACGAACAGACATGTAGTTGTTACTAGACAAGTTGGACACACAGGAACATAGGGGTTGAGGGCCCTGCTCAATGAGCTTACATGCTAGAGGGAGTGGGGTAAAGTGACACAAAAGGTAAGGATAGTATTAGACTAATGACAGTTGAAAGAGAGGAATCATTCTGGAGCTATTAACAGTTTAATTGATACGCTTTTATAAAGAAGTGTGTTTTTAATGATTTTTTTGAAGGAGTGGAGACTGGGTGAGCATCTAACAGAGGAGGGAAGTGAGTTCCACAGGAACGGTGCAGCCCTGGAGAAGTCTTGAAATGTATTGGGGTCTATCTACTAAACAGTGATATTTGATTTTATTTTTTTCTAATATGGACAGTGGTTTTTTAAGATCAACTAAGAGAGAGTAGATTTCTTTCTAATTAAGAGGTCTAGTCAGTTGTACTTATAAAATCAAAATCTGTCTTCAGGATTAATTTCTGAATGATCCATTACCTGCCCTGACTTGGACAAATAAACAAAAGTGTAATGTATTGTCAATCAGTAGCACATCCCAGAACTAGAAAGGGTCTTTTAGATTTGATGTTTCAATGTTAATAACTAAGAGTTGGTCCAGATTGCTAGTTTTAGTAATCCTGTAGCTCCTGCTGCAGAAGTACATCCAACAACATTAAATGAATGTTGATACATTGAGTCTCCAAACAAGACATGAACAACATCCACAAGGTTCCTAATGTTGCCATATTGCCATAGGAACCATAATGTTACATGCTTTTGACAAGGAAACTTCAGAAAACGTATGTCATCTATTGTAAACCGGTGGGTTTTAAAGGACCTTTAGCTGCTAGCAAAACAGGACTGACTTGAACCAGCCAGGTACATGCTAGCTTGGTAACAGGCAGGGATCTAGCATTTAAATATCCCTCATATAAAATGTAATGCCATCAGTCTGAGTGTGGATCAGTCCAGGAAATGGATAGACTCACTATTGGTGCTGCATAGTACTTTGCCATTATATATCTCGATTAGGCATCTTTACAGTCTAGAAAAATAATGCAAATTCATTAAAGTAAATACTTAACACTAAACTTGTTGTGTGCTTCACTGACAGTTCACCATGGCTTCTGTGCAAGAGAAACTGATCACCAGCGTTACAGAAGTCAAACCTGCTTCTCCAACAAGCAAGATCACAATTGTGGGTGTAGGCCAAGTTGGTATGGCCTGTGCTGTCAGCATCCTTCAGAAGGTATGTTCCAAATATAGATTCAGTGTGTGGAGGAACAAATGCTAAGCATGTGACTAGTCTATGTGCAGTGTGACCTTGAAAACACTAAAGGGAAAGCAAAAAGCTAAGCTGTCAGCTAATAGCATAAAAGATTATTTTGTGATTAGTTTAGAATGGAGATGTAGTGGTGCATCAAGCAGAACAGTGGAGCAATAGCCATGAAGAAAAAATATGGAATGTTCTACTCATCCATTCTGTCTCTTTGCTGATTGCTCCATTGCCAGAACTCTTCCACATTTCTTTTCTTAAATCTGTTCTAAGTGCTGTTTGTATCCAGGGCACTTGAGTGGCCAGTGTTGCAGAGCAATGCAGTGTTCGAAAAAGACAATCCTAGTTCTAGTCCTTTATTTTGGTATGGAGCCCAACAAAAGTACATTTAAGTTTAAATGCCCTTTGGAATGATCATTGGTAAATTAAATAGTATATTATACATTCTCTACTTGGGCAGAGGTTGAAAATAACATGACAAAATGTTGTACTGTTGCTACGTTCCAAGTCAAAATATAATGTCTTATCTACAGCATTGTGATTCCTGTTCCTTATGTGTAACTGTATGAACTGGTGGTAAGCTCTGGGTCAAAATTTTATTGCTGTAATGGACACTGTCCATGCACCATGCAAAACCCTCTGGATTTTCAGCTTTGCATGGTTGGATAAATGATGCCCAGGCCCATATTTGACACTTATTTGTCACTGTCGTGGGTGTTTATTTTTTTGTAGTAATCAAAAAAATATTTGCATTCAAATTTCATGTGCTATGCTATTAGCCAATGCAACGTTGCTTGCTATTGAGTGTAAATATCACACATTAGATTCCGGGTAAGTAATCTGTTAGTCTACAGATGTGTTAAAATGAAAACAAAAAACTGTATTTGAGTATTATTTACAAACCAGAGGCTTGCTGATCTTTTAATGAAATTATCCTGATTATAGAAGGGCTGTCAATCTTCTCTACCTAAAATAACTTTCTTTTATAGGAATTACCAGATGAGTTGGCATTGGTTGATATATTGGAAGACAAACTGAGAGGTGAAATGATGGATCTGCTGCATGGTAGTCTTTTCCTTAAAACACCCAAGATTGTAGCTGATAAAGGTAGGTTTGTGGCCCTGGTCAATGTCTGATTACTTAGACTTACACTTGCATATAACTTGGGTAAAAAAGATATTGGAATGAAACTGGCTGGCAGCTTTCACAGCTCTTAGTATGCCACAGTTCTGCTCAGATCATGAGTTTACTGGCATTTATATTTATGTTGTTATAAAGCTTAGTTAAACCACTCACTGGAGCCTTTTCTGTGATTGCTAATATGTACAGCTATTATTAGGAAAACTGTAAAATGCTGCATATTAATAAAGTTGATAAATATTATATAATCAGTTTGCACTTTCATTCATAGTGCTGTTTTTTTCCTCCCAGATTATTCTGTAACTGCCAACTCTAGAATTGTAGTGGTAACTGGTGGGGTTCGTCAGCAGGAAGGCGAAAGCCGTCTAAACTTGGTTCAAAGAAACGTCAATGTCTTCAAATTCATTATTCCTCAAGTTGTGAAATACAGCCCTGACTGCATCATAATTGTGGTTTCCAATCCAGGTATGACTGTTCACTGGCATGCATTGATCTACCTTAAAACTTTCCAAGAACAGTAGTCTGCAGCTGGTCTAAGTAAGAACTTGGTCCATGTTTTTTATCTTCAGGAATGAGGTAATAGACTTCATGCTGAACAAACTGGACTTGGGCACAAAAGTGTTTTGATCCGTCCAGGATTAACCTGGGAAGTCTCATTATTGAGTAAGACACCACAGGTAAATCCCAGACGGGCCGATTCATTTGAATTTAGATTAAAAGGAATTTTGATGTCTGTTTTAGACTTGTGCATAAGTGTTTTCCGCTAGTTCAATCACAAAACTATTCAACTGAGTCATCCTCCTGGTAGATCAACATCGGCATTTTTACTTCATAGCAAAAGTACCCCTATGTAAAACTTTTTCTTTTTTTCTGTGTATTGACCTTTTACTCCAGTCCAGGATAAAGTGACATTTCTCTCTATACAGTGGACATCCTGACCTATGTTACATGGAAACTGAGTGGCCTGCCACAAAACCGTATTATTGGAAGTGGAACTAATTTGGATTCTGCAAGATTCCGCTATCTGATGGCTGAGAAGCTTGGGGTCCATCCTACTAGCTGCCATGGCTATATTTTGGGCGAGCATGGAGATACAAGTGGTAAGAACTGTACCATATGTACAATGTGCAACTTGTGATCTGTTGTGCTCTTTATGACCATTTTTGTTTGTTCTTATATTTCAGTGGCAGTCTGGAGCGGTGTTAATGTTGCTGGTGTAACACTTCAGTCCCTTAACCCTGAGTTAGGCACAGCCCAGGATAGTGAGAACTGGAAAGATGTTCACAAGCAAGTAGTTGACAGGTAATGTATGCAAATGTCTCTGCCTGTGAATAAAAACTTGAGTCAAGATCAGTACCAGGAAAAAATACCCACATTATTCCAGCAGTACTGCTATTTTATATATAGACTGCATGCAGAGCAAACTAGTTATGCTAGGGTCAACTAGTTAAAACACATTTTATGGTACATATAAAAGGGACATTGCTTGAATTTTTGACATTTTGTTATTATTATTGCCATTGTTGTTCTAAATGCTGTTAACCAAGGACCATCTAAAAATCTGGAAGGTTTGTGTTTTTAATACACTAGATGCTTAGAGTTGAATATTTAGTCCCCAGGCTGTTTAATTAATGAACCAAATACCTGATCAATGAATTTGAGTCCCTGGGTACCTGCTGCCTGGACCCCTGTAAAGGAATGTCTAAAGCAGTTATGCTGCACTTGACCCATTACCAAATCTCAGCTGGTGCTCTCGGGCTGTCACTGGTTTGGCATAAGGTGAAATGTAACTCTGCCTTAGTCAATCAGTCAGAGGAGCCCAGGCAAGCATATGATGTATAAACATGATCAAATCTAGACTGTCCAGTTTCTGGCATTATAAACAGTCTGTCAGAAAGAAGTGTTTTTCTTTTCAAGAATTGTACTGCTTTATATTGTTAAAATAGCTTATCCCACCGCATTATCTAACTTCTAGTGCCTATGAAGTGATCAAAATGAAGGGATACACCAACTGGGCTATTGGCTTCAGTGTCGCAGATTTGGCGGAATCCATTGTGAAGAACTTGTCAAGAGTCCATCCTGTGTCTACAATGGTCAAGGTATGAAGCTTCATGTTGCCGGCCTTGTCGCATGAGTAACAAGTTCTATGTCAGTCCTACCTGATTGGGATGTTCTTGTGGAATCTTTTGGACATCTCATTACTGGTCAACAGTGAGCCTATTCTGTTTTAAACACATAGTTGCATTTGAATTGAACTACTTTACTAGTATGATTTCAACTAGTCAATTCTGAATTAACATTGGTGGAATTATACATAAAACTCTAGTGAGAAGCAGAAATGATATGCAGATGGAAAAATAAACAACAGTTACACTGAACTTCTTTATTTTTGTTTAGGGAATGTACGGCATAGAAAATGAAGTTTTCCTGAGTCTGCCATGTGTACTCAACTCAAATGGCCTGGTGTCCGTCATTAACCAAAAGCTGAAGGATGATGAAGTTGCCCAACTGCAGAAGAGTGCAAACATATTGTGGTCTATCCAGAAAGATTTGAAAGATCTGTAATTCTGATGTATAATTGTCTTTAATATTATATACTGATTTGTAGAGAAATAGTTGTCAGAATAAAAACCTGAAAACTGCACAGTCTCAAAGCTGTAATTGCTTTCTGAAAAATTCTTCAGTGGTATGTTTTTTTTATTTTATTTTTTTGGAGGTTTTTTCTATGTCAGATCTTCAATATTTGGGGGGACAAGTGGGTTTCTGGGTTTGAAGATTCTTTGTGTATTAAAAGTAAAATCCTGCAGTCAGAAGTTACCACTTAGCAGTTTTAAAACATTATTCTAGTCATCTAGATGCATGTTGTGCCACCTTTTAACACCCGCGGCCCGGTGAAAAGAGGAGAAATATTTTGTGGACCGGCCTCAGCCAGAAATAGAAACCAATGTTATGTGTGAGGAGTGCAGTGTGTGTGTATGGGGGCAGTGTGTGTGTTTGGGGGGAGGAGGCAATGTGTGTGTATGGGGGAGAATTATTGTGGGGTTGGAGGGCAGATTAATAAATATAATTTTTGTTTAATTAAAAAAAACATAATTTTGATATCCCCCCTCCATGCTTAGCTTTGACTAGGAGGGGGGACAGTACAAGGAAATCCCTGGTGGTCCAAGTGGTGAGACTGAACTCTAGCAGCCTCAGGAGCTGCTAGAGTTCACTCTCGCAAGATTCGGAGCATTGCTGTGGTAACCACCGCAACGCTCGGAGCTCGGGAGAGGAGAACCCGGCAGAGCTGAGGTTAGAGCTCCCCTGGGTCCTCTCTTCCATGACACTGCTAATGGGCTGGAGAGCAGAACCGGCAGGGGAGAGGGAGGCACAGTTCCCGGTGCTATGATAATAGCACCGGGGAAATATTTTGTGGCAATTTATTGCTGGTCCGCAAAAGCTTTCACCCGACTATACCGCTACACTAGCGGTATAGTCGGGTGAAAGCTTTCGCGGACCAGCAATAAATTCTTGCAGACCACCTGTTGAAAACCACTGATCTAGATTAACCCCTTAACGCCATTACGGCCATTACGGCTTTCTGCCCCTGGAGGTCCGCGGTACTCACATCCGCCGCGATCCTCTTCTGCCTCCCCCCTGGCAAATGAGGCCCCCCGGGGGCCATGTGATCGCTCTCAAAGAGCGATCACATGGCCTTCTATAGCTGGCTGTGGATCTGCCAGCAGGGGGACTGTCTGAAATGTCAGACAGTCCCCCTGCTGGTGGGAAAGTAAAAAAAAAAAAATTAAACATGTTTTAAAATAAATTAAATGTGTATATATGTATATGTAAAAAAATAAATAAATATATATATATTATAAATATGTAACGTGATACGTAATATATTTTAATGTTAATATAAGTACATATATTAATCTTAAAATACACTTAGAATGACGTTACATATATATAATATGTATATATATTATATATATAATACATATATACACATATATATATATATATATATATGTATAATTACAATAATAAATAAATAAAATAATAAAATATATAAATAAAATATTGAAACAAAATGTAATATAAATTATATATTCATATGTAATTTCATTCTAACTGTATTTTGTTATTAATATATATATATATATTGGTAACAAAATACACTTAGAATGACATTCTATATATATCTATCTATATATAAAACACAAATAACTACAAATATATATAGATAAATACATATAATTTCATAAAAGATTACATTAGAATACACGTGGAATAAATACCTATAATTGCATATATATTAAAATTCTACGTGTATATTTAAGTAATCCTTTAATATAATTATTCGATTAATTAAAATTTGATTGACATGCCTGACAACACGGAGAAAGTGCTGAGAATTTAATTCACAAGCACTATATATGACCCTGTAACTCTCCAAGACACCATAAAACCTGTACATAGGGGGTACTGTTTTACTCGGGAGACTTCGCTGAACTCAAATATTAGTGTTTCAAACTGGTAAATTGTATTACAACGATGATATTTTAAGTAAAAGTGAAGTTTTTTGCATTTTTTACAAACGAACGCACTTTTATGGACTATATTATTGTTGTAATATGTTTTACTGTTTTAAAACACTAATATTTGTGTTTAGTGAAGTCTCCCGAGAATAACAGTACCCCCCATGTACAGGTTTTATGGTGTTTTGGAAAGTTAGAGAGTCACATATAAGGCTTGCATTTAATTTTTTTGACACTGAAATTTGCCAGATTGGTTATGTTGCCTTTGAGAGCGTATGGTAGCCCAGGAATGAGAATTACCCCCATGATGGCATACCATTTGCAAAAGTAGACAACCCAAGGTATTGCAAGTGGGGTATGTCCAGTCTTTCTTAGTAGCCACTTAGTCACAAACACTGGCCAAATATTAGTTTTTTCCTTTTTTCACACAAAAACAAATATGAAAGCTAACTTTGGACTGTGTTTGTGACTAAGTGGCTACTAAAAAAGACTAAACATACCCCACTTTCGATACCTTGGGTTGTCTACTTTTTTAAATGGTATGCCATTATGGGGGTAATTCTCATTCCTGGGCTACCACACCGTCTCAAAGGTAACATTACTAATCTGGCAAATTTCAATCTGAAAATGGAACATTCTATATTTGACCCTGTAACTTTCCAAAACACCATAAAACCTGTTAATGGGGGGTACTGTTGTACTCGTGAGACATCGCCGATTACAAATGTGTGCATTTTTTTTGCAGTAAAACCTAACAGTATTATGACATTCACAGCAAAAATGTCAGACAGAAATACAAATAAAAAAAAAAAATCATATTTTCTCACATTTTTTTAAAATTTTATTCATAATAAATTATGTTCCATATATGAATACTTTATGATAAATTAAAGCCCTGTTTCTCCTGAACAAAATTATATATAATAAGTGTGGGTGCACTTAATGTGACAGCGGTGAATTACGGTTGAATAGACATACAGCGCAAATTCCAGTTTTTGTTTACGTTTTGTTTTGATCAGAACGTGCACTATTGACTCCGTCCTGAAGGGGTTAAAGAAATCAGTGCATTTGCACATTTATATAAATAATACCAAATTAGTGTTTGTGTGAAGACTTTAATGCACATTCCAAACACTAATTATTCTTACTAAAACTATAGTTTATGCCATATCCATATATCCTACAGTTGCCATATCACCAAGAAAACACCTCTATTGGCTTTCTCAGCCATTTAGGTAAAGATAAAAGTTGGCCTCTTTCACACACATCCTTCCAGTCAATTGGATTGATGTGTAACCTTCCCCATAATCAGGGCCAGATTAAGAGTCCATTGGGCCTGGTGCTGACATTTATGATGGGCCTAATTACAGAATTTTAATCGACAGAAAACACTAAAACAGTAATATTGCCCTAGAGTTATTTATCTGGCAGAGGTGGTGCTAAAGGGAAGCTCACAGGATGCAGCTATAATAAAACACATACCATATGCTAATCTCTCACTTTCATTTTTCAAGTAACTCCATACCCCTTAACAGCACTGTCCAGTGAAGCAGGATGTCGGTGGGTGGGGTAAAAGGGTGGGCCACTGATGTGTAACCATAACTGCCCAAAGGGACGAATGTGCCCAAATCAAGTCTGCCCAAAGAATTGAAAGGCCAGCCTTGCATGAATGCATGTCAGGCTGCCTGCCAATCATGCAGGCTGGCCAACTAAGGGCATACTATGCAAACCAAACCTAGACTGGCCATTGGGCACACCAGGCAAATGCCCGATGGGCCATGTTGGCCTTGGGGTGAGGCCAACCCATGCAGAGCAGTGCCGGCCGTGCTGGGTTGCTTGAGGACCGGTGGAGAGATCAAAGATCTCCCTCACCAGCCCACAGGTACTGAAATCCTGTGAGAAGGAGGGCAAAGGCAGGACCCGAGAGCTCTAGCCAGAAGCTCTGCCGGGTCCTGAAAGTTCCTCTTGCGAGGTTGGAGAGTTACCACGGACATGCTCAAACCAGATCAGAGCACTGAACTCTTTCCTGCAGTTGGAGGAGCTGCAGGTCTGAGCTACTCACTACCGGACCACCAGGGTTTGTAAAATCCCCACCTCCCATGGCAAGGTAAGACGGGAGAGGTGAGATATAAAGTTAATTTATTTTTATTTAAAACATTAAATACATAGATATATTTATTAAAATAATTTAAATAAGTATTTATATTTGCCTCCATCCCCCCTCACAATATAGACCTGTATCAGTCCCAACACATTCACACACATACAGATACATACCCTGACACACATACAGACACACCCTGACACACATATACATACCGTGACACACATGAAGATACAAAGACACATAGATACATACACTGACACACTTAAAGGGACATTATAGTCACCAAAACAACTTTAGATTAATGAAGCAGTTTTGGTGTATAAATTATGTCCCTGCAGTTTCACTGCTCAATTATCTGCCATTTAGGAGTTAAATAGAAAGAAGGGCTGGAAGGGGTAAGCTAAATAGACAAACCCACTATCAGACCTAGTACCCTGATAGAAACTGCTCTATCATTGATAGGTTAAAATGCCTTTATTTATTTAGAGCAAAAAAGAAAACTATAATTGTATTAATCCCTAATGAGGCAATAGACAAAAAGATCTAAATAACATAATGTGAATAATCTAGTGTTGAAAAAATAAAAAGGAAAAACAATAGTAAGTGGTTAAAATAGGACCAAGCATTATAGCAATTAAATCCCAACAGTTACAATACAGACTGAGACTGGTGTTTTAAAGAATGTTACAAATCATTGCAACAAAATTGCTTGTCTGTGTCTGATACTGAATCGGATCTTAATCTGTGAGGTATATTGGAATAGGTCAGGGGTAGGCAACCTACGGCACTAGTGCCATGCACGGCACTCGAGGTGTCTTTGCACGGCACTCAAGGCTGCTAGAGCCAAACAGGCTCTGGCCTATCAGGAGTCCCAGTAAAACCTCAAATATCTCCTAATACGAAAAGATGGTGAAGGACAATCCTCAATTTAAGCATTG